CGGTTAAAGTTGCTTCCGAGGGAGGTTCTAGGTACTTTGTTACATTTGTTGATGATTATTCTAGATATGCTTGGATTTATTTTCTTAAGCATAAGAATGAGGTATTCGATATTTTCAAGCGGTGGAGAGCAATGTACGATCTGATTATGGTATCGAAGGGGGCTTTCAAGGAGTTTTGTGATAGGAAGGCGTTGTGGACATTCAGAGACACCCCACAGCAGAATGGAGTTGCGGAAAGACTGAATCGTACACTACTTGAGAAGGCAAGGTGTATCCTGCTAGGCAAAGAATGGTGGGCAGAATCGGTTGTTACAGCTTGTTATATATTAAATCGATCCCCACATTCGTATTTAGATGGAGACACACCTTATAAGTTTGGTCAAGGGAACATGCAGATTACGAGAGGCTTATAGTCTTTGGATGCACGGCTTATTATCATGTTAAGGATAACAAGCTTGATGAAAGAACAAGTAGTCTTTTTAGGGTATCCAAAAGGGGTTCAGGGATATCATCTATGGAGTGTAGAGGATTCTAAATTTGTAATCACAGATGTGACCTTTGATGAAAGATCTATGGTAGCTTTATCTAAAGTTATGGTGCCTAATGATGGTGCTGTTGGAACGACTACAAATACTCAAGTGGTTGAGATAGAATCTAGAGACCAACAAGATTCTAGTCATGTTCTGAGGCATTATGGGCACGTAAACTTGGTAGATTATGCACTCTCAGGTGGAGGATGATGAGCCGGTCACCTTCAAACAAGTTATCAATGAAAGAAATAGTGAGAATTGGTTGCTATGGAAGAAGAGATGCAATCTCTTCCTAAAAATAAGACATGGGAGGTAGTCCTATTGCCCATGGGAAAGACTGCCATTGGTTGTAAGTGGGTGTACAAAAGGAAAGAGGATCCTTCCAAGCTAGATTAAGTAAGGTGTAAGGCTAGGCTAGTGGCCAAGGGATTTACACAGATAGAAGGTGTTGATTACAATGAGATATTTTCTTCGGTAATAAAACATAATTCTATTCCGGTGGTGTTGAGTCTTGTAGCTCATGGAGATCTTAAGCTGGAACAACTCGATGTGAAGACAACCTTCTTACATGGTGACTTGGACGAGGAAATCTATATGTATCAACTTGAGGGATTTAAGGTATGTCACTTAAGGAAATCACTTTATGGATTGAAACAATCTCCTCGACAGTGGTACAGGCGATTTGATTCTTTTATGTTAAAACAAGGATTTTCCAGAAGTAATTACGATTGTTGTGTATACATTCGTAAACTTCATGGAGGTGATTATATCTATCTATTATTGTATGTGGACGACATGCTTATTGCTTCTAAAAGCAACTTGGAGATAAATAGGTTAAAAATTCAACTCGGTGAAGAGTTCGAAACTAAAGACTTGTGCTGCAAAAAAAATACTGGGTATGGAGATTAGAAGAGAGAGATCAAACCGAAAATTGTTCTTGAGCCAAAAAGGCTACATTGAGTGGGTTATAGAAAGGTTTGGGATGAAAAGGGCTAAGTCAGTGGTGACACCATTGGCTCCACATTTCAAGCTTTGTGGTAAACAATCTCCCACTACAGCGGAAGATAAGGCATACATGGATAATGTACCTTATGCTAGTGCATTAGGCAGTTTAATGTACGCTATGGTATGCACACGTCCAAACATTTCATAAGCAGATAGTGTTGTAAGTAGGTTCATGGAAAACCCTGGTAAGGCGCATTGGGAAGCGGTGAAATGGATTTTACGGTACTTAAAAGGTACCATTGACACAGGTGGAGATACATGTCAAATAAGTGGCTTTGTTGTCTCGGATTATGCCGGTGATTTAGATAGAAGAAGATCTACTACTAGTTATGTGTTTAAAGTATATGGTGCTCTAGTTAGTTGGTGATCAATGTTTCAGGCTACATGGCTCTATCTACTACAGAAGCCGAGTATATGGCTATGGCGGAAGGAGTTAAGGAAACATTATGGTTGAGGGGACTTCTGGATGATTTAGGGTTGAAGCAGGATTGTGTGAATCTGAATTGTGATAGCCAAAGTGGTATTCACTTAGCCAAGAACCAGGTTCATCATGCTCGTACCAAACATATAGATGTGAGATATCATTTTGCACGGGATGTCATAGAGGAAGGTAGTATTTCTCTAATGAAGGTGCATACAAATGAGAACCCTTCAGACACGTTAACCAAAGTTGTCTCAGGAAGCAAGTTCCAACATTGTTTGGACTTGCTGAATATTGTCCCATGTTAGGCATTACATGGAGAAATAAATGGAACTAAGATTGGTTTGATCCCGGTGAAGGGTACGTAGGCAGTCATTGTGAAAATGGTGCAACCGGATACGAAATACGCAATTTGTTCCTTTAGTATTTTGAATGTCTTCAAATTATGAACGAGGTGGAGAATTAAAGAATAAGTGATATTGGTTATGAGATTAATTCTCCCTAATTAGTAGGGAAGCATTAATTTAAGAGGAGAGGAAATGATGGCAGAATGGTAGGATGGAAGCAAATGTTTCGTTGTTTTCTTTAGTAATAGAATCTAAGCCATTCTTTTTAGAGCATGTAAGACCTTATAAATTGTTTAGGTTGTAATGCAGTTATTGTTAATTCGAATCAATTAAAATTCACATCAAAAGTTTTAGTTTAAGAAAAATCTTATTTTCTTACAATATAATTTCCTTCATAGTGGTTGTTAGTTTATCCCAAAATATTATTTAATTTTGTGAGGTATCCATTTCATATTATCTAGTAGAAGCCACATTTCCGCTGCGAGAGCTCTAACAGTATGGTTGGACCTTGTCTTATACTCTAATGGAATGGATACAGTAGCACACTGAAGAACAATCAATCTAGATTTAAGGATCAAGGTTAGGGGTAACCTTAATTTAGGGTTAGCTTATTTGTGTTTTCTTTGGAAAAATGGCCTAATTGAGTCAATTGACGAGCATGTTTTGGGTATAAATATAGACGAAGCGTTTAGGGTATGAATATTGATGAAGCTGTAGTAACTTTCCTTTGATGACCCATATTTTATTTTCCTATCTTTGCGACTCCCTTATAGCTCAAATGCTCAATTAATCAAAGCTTTGTCCTAAAATTTTAACTGATGTTTCTTAATGCCTCATTAATCAAAGCTTTGTTTGGAAACCTATTTAAACAAACAATCTGTATTGAGCTTTGCCCAGTTATCTTAAAAATGTCTTAGTCGCTTATAGATTAGGAGTTAGGAAAAAGATATAAAACAGTATACCAAAGCACAAGGCTTCGAATCACTAAAAGGGGAAATCTGAAGCTAGTAAGTGGAGGAGCCATGGCATCAAGTTCAACCTTAGAGGGAGACTTTGCAGGGGAAAATGAACTATCATGAAAGCAGTTTAATTAATAATTAAGCTAACAGGAAAGAAGATTGAGGAAGCAGTCCTCTAGAGATTCCAAAATTCAGAAAGAAGCTCAGTGTATGGCTGAAGGTACTTTTCTAAGTATGAATCAGAGGACCAAGATAGAGAAGTTGAGTATATTGGGAAGCATGAACGTCTTGATTGACTTCATATTTTCGAAATGGTGCGAGAGAGAGAAGAAAGTTAATGTGGTAGCTATGAAATTCAGGAAATGCATTTCAGCGAAGGACCAAAGGATTAGAAGAGATAAAAGAAGATATCATATAAATTTAACCCATGTTCACTTTTGGTCACTTTTGATCAGTCAACGTATATTTATGTCCGTTTGGATATGGGATATTAAATTATATAACACTTATTTGTTTTAATCGTCTTTGGGTTATTTCAGGACATGGGATTGGTTGTATTTAGTTTCAAATTAAGTCTTAGTTTGAGTAATATGGTTTTTGCAATCGAGTTCGGTTGGTTTGTTTCTAGCATAAGTAAGGGGAACTGAAATAGTTCATATAATGATATAAATCTTTTTGCGTTAAATCGTATGCGAATTTGCCAATGTTTTCTTTTCAACCTGCTGTCAACCTAAAGAGTGAAATGAATTTGAAAACTTCTATCATCAGCTTATCTTGTGATCTAGGGACTGAATAGTTTCATACTTGATATTTAAAATGTTGGAGATAGCATTTCGTTTTGGACCATAGTTAATTTCTTCATTCAGGCTAGTTGAAATTGTTTTTTGTTTGGTATAAAGATGCTTGAGTGCACAACAGTAGGCTGTACAGTGACAATATATTGCTTGGTCCTTGGACTAATGGGTCATTGCCTGATCTTTTGACCTGATAGGTTGCTGTAATACCAGTTAATTTATTTTAGAGTGTATATGTCAACTAAATAAAAGTTATCAATGAACTGTTTCTACTAATACACTCAGTTGCCTATCAGATCAAGGGCCTAATAAATTTAGCCTTTTGAAGATCAAGAATTCATAATGTCTTAGATCATGTTTAAGGTGCAAACATCTTTTTTGTATCTGCAATGCTGCATGGTTATATTTGCACGAATTTTACCCTCCCAACCTGCCATTGGTTGGTATTTTAAGGTGTTGGGGCTAGTGGTACGTATATTATGTAAGGAATGGCTGGCTAATAGTTTCAGATTTTTTGCTGTGTTTTTATTATAAATTTTTGGAATCTGATCTTAATACTTTGTAATATTTGGCGTTCCTTCTTATCTCAAAGGCCATAAATTATCTGAAAGAAAGAAAACCTTCAGCATCTGAATTACCATTAAACTGCTGTTCTGTCATAGCAACTGAGATTAGTAACATTTCATGATAAGCTTCTTAATCTTTGAAAAGTCCTATCTAAAACTTGTTTCGCTTGCTTCTTCCCTCTTCCTGTATGTTTACATTACCTTTATGGCTTATCTTCAAATGAATTATATTTGGCACCACCCTGGTTGGGATGGGTAGGCCCACCACTTCACAAATAGAGCAAGGGATAGAGCTCAAAATGTTTTTGCATTAATTTTCTTCACTTGTATCTGTGTGGCGCCCTTCACTGATTATTGTTACTGTTATAATTTGTACAGGGGAAGGAAATGTCAGGGAGAGAGCACTTACAGAAGAGCATGCAAGGGACAGTTTTGAAAACCTTCTCTTTAGTGTTTGTCGATTCCGGGAGCTCACAGGCACATATCCTCTAAACATAACAGTAAGTTTTTATATTTGTGTTCATAAAAAAGGACATATACAAGATATATATGAAAGCAAACTGTGTAAAGCTTGTTCTTTTACACTATTGCTTGAGTCTCTAATTCTCTATAGGATGCTTAATATGACAAGCCTGCTCTTGGATTTACTCTATATCAATATGTGCTCCATGTTCATTATGCACAGAAAATTAAAAACTAGTCTCATACAAATATGTTTAGAAACACATGGTCATGCAATTATGGTTAAAATTAAGATTACATTAAAACTTGTTAAAAATGCATTGTTATTATGTTATCCCATTAGTTTTACATTAGTATGCCTAGCTTACATCTACATTGTTTTTTAAATAAGTCATTTCTAAATGGTGTTTAATATACTTATATACTGGAAGCTCTGCAAACATTCATGAATGTAATAATATAAATTTGGAAATTCATGATTTTTTTTTTTTTTTTTTTTTTTTTGACTCACAAATTCATGCTTCTTTTGCTTAGCTGTTTGTGCATTGTGGTAATGGTATTAACACTATTTGAAATATGTAAGAAAATATCATGCCAATGTTTATAATTATGCAACTCCAATTCCGATTTTCCGAACATATGCTTTTCTATCATCACCATTCACTATCATCCCAAGTGATACTTTGGATATAAATATTTTAACCTTATTGTCTGTCAATTGAGCTGCAAGGTTTTTGGTATGCCTATTTTTAGTCGAGCTGCCTAAGATTTGGCATGCTTATGCTACATGCTATTAATGTCTTCAAAGAATCTAACATGGAAAGTGTAAATTGTATTCCAGTGATTTGTTATACTAAGGTGTATAGCATATATGTGTAATTGTTTATGCGTGTAATGAGAAGGGTAATTTAGGTTCAAGATGGGAGGATGAATTTGTGGCCTTTGATCATTTTTTTTTTTTTTTTTTTCATACTATGGGGAAAATGAAATCTAACGCTACACACTGCACTTGTCATATGAGATATGAGATCATGATCCAATCTGACTAAAACTAAGAGTGATTTTAATCTGTTTCACAATAAAGAAACCGCGGGAGAAGGAGGAGGGAGGGGGGGGGGGGGTAGAACTGCCATTTTGGCACTCCCCCAGCAATCTCTTTGTTGCATCAGGATTTATGGATGTTGCTTCATAGTGATAACTGATAAGAGGTGAAGTAAGTAATTGGACATTAAAATAATTTCTATAATCGCTGCTGATGATTTGATGATGACAACCCTGCTAAGAGGTAAAGTAGTTGGATATTAAAATTCTCTATAGCCAATGATCTTTTTTCATAATTCCTTCTCTCCGTAACCTGCAAAGATGCTTCCTTAGACGCTGATAACCTACCCCTATGAGCTGCTGCTGATGCATGATAGTCCGCATCATACAGTAATTACATGCTGAGGTTGACATAAAGTCTGCAGGGACAATGTGGGTGATTACTGGAAGCCTCGTCTTGAAGTCAGAATAATCTTGGGAAGAGGAGGTTGCTATGCACTGATTTATTAGCAAGTAAGGTGAAGCTGTGATTGAGCAGAAAAATCTGTTACAATCTACAAGCTTCCGAGGCTTGATTCTCTCATAAATTATGCTGAACTCTCACCTTCCTTCACAAGCTTCTCATAACTAAATTAAAGTTTGCTTCCAATATACCCCTCCCAGCCTCCCTATGTGTCATTTTCTTGCCAGGGGAATTGCTGATGGAGGCAGGAGAGAGAATCAGAATTCATGGCCATGGGCAGATATATTGGTACTTGGTGGTGTTATTTGGGATTGATGGACCTTGGCACCTTATAGAAGAGAAGGGAGGGGAAAAGCAACAGGTAAGGGTTGGGAAAACTTTGGGGCCGTGAAACTAACCTTGCTGTGCACTTATCAAAGCGCTATTGCTGCTTTGCTGGACATGGCTATGATGACTGAGGTCAGGCAACTGTGGTGTAATTATTTGCCTAGCTATTTTTTTTTTAATTTTTATTTCATTCATCAGAACTTTGTCTAGTGGCCGTAATTTGTTCCTCTCTAGTTCTGTATATAAAGTCACAACATCCTCCAGCATACTACACCTTCCTCAGATACATATTGGGACTATTCTCTTAGTACTCCGTAGTAAATTTATTGCATTTTGTTTAACTTCCTCTAAAATGTTTGAATTTTGTTTTTCCTGCTAATTATGTTTTGTTGCAACTTGCAAGGACATGATACACATCAATGAATTTTGACTCAAAAAACATAAGATGACTGTGGTCTGTGGATATATATCTTTGAGGCATAAAACTTCACACTAGCAAAGCATATTGAGTCACGACATTCTTCTGACAATGTGTCATTTGAGCCTTGAGAAAATCTTATCCTTTTATTTGAAGCCTTAGAAGATGAGATTTGATTCATCTTTTTACTGTAACTGGAATATGTAGTAGTACTCATAGTTGTAACTTACATTGCTCAGATTCTGAATCTATCTAGATACAGTTGAGTTCTTTGGTTGTCATAGTTGAGAGTTTATTCTAACAGAACCTGCTTAATTTTTTGTACTATCAGGTTGTAAGTTATGATTTTAAAAAGGAGAGGTTTGCACAACTTCACAGGTTGGCAATTGGCTTCCCTGCATCAAGGTTTTCCTATGTGGGCACACCTGCATCGGCGACTTCTGAAGCAGCAGCTAAGAAAGGTGAATCCTTAGTGAGATCTCAGTTTGAAAAAGACCCATATGGCTGCCTCAGTTCGCTCCATCACAAGAAATTGAGGCGAGATCCTTTTCATCGGTCAATACCTTATCCTAATGGATGTCCCGAAATTGAAGGCTTGTTCAAACATTGTGGAACATCACTTTACGGAGGCCCTCTTCCATGGGGTTAATGTATACTTTGTGGCTATGTACTTTTTATGACCATTCACACAATGAGCGTCCAAATGTTCTATTCCAGATTTGTTGCAGATGTAGAAGATAAAATTCCTAATCAGGCATTAATCGACTTTGCCGTGAAGGATTAAGAACTACCAAGGAATAGTGGGGCATTTTTTCCCATGGTTTCGACCTCTCCTATGGGTTAATTTGAGATGCAATATTCATACTCCATATATAATCTATAATTTAAGCAATATTTGAATTGAAATTGAAGATAATGAAAACGTATTTTTAAGTAAAATAAAAATAAAAAGGAAAAGCCACAAGGAAAATGAATGTTGTAAAAAAGTGTACTGGAAAAATAACTGGTGGAAGAAACAAGCCACATACAAAAAAAAAAACAAATGAAAAGCAAACTGGTAACAAAAACCAAAAATTACTCCATAGAAATAAAAACAAATTTAGAGCAAGCCAATCCACTTGTATTTACTCATTAAACGACGTAAAAATTTCTCGGGTCTGTATTAAAAATCACTTTTCTACTTTGTGCAGAGTTAACTCCATATTCACCAATTAATTAACAGCTTGATTAGCTTACTAGTAGAAAAACACAAATGCACACCGAGGAATGCACACTGATTCTTAAAAACCGGTGCGAATTTTTTGTTAGAAAAACACCTGCCCCTTTTTTCCCCTATTCCTTCTCTTTCCCCTTTCTTTTTTCATTTTCGAGCTACACTGTTTGTTCCCTCCTCTTCAATCTCCCTCTTTTGAAAATGCTCAGCAGCCCCCTCCACCACTGTCGCCACCTGCATCAGAACCCCCTCCACCACAACACCCTCCTCCACCGGCTACCACAAAGGCATCCATTGCACCCGCCGCTCGTTCTTCTCCTCTTCAGCGACCGCTCGCACGCATCCCCTCCACCACTACCGGCCACTGCACTGAAATCCCATCCACCATCCCAGCCGCCCCCTCCAACGGCCACCACGAAGATCTCCATCGCAGTCGCCCCCTTCTTCGTGGTATTTAATTAGAAGACTTTCACCATAGCCGCCCCCTCCAACGGTCTAGTGGCCTGGCTCCAACCACATTCTCCATTTCCGTCTCCAAGCACGCCACTTTTTACCTCCTTAAAGTTAGGGTTAGTTCATTTTCAACTACTTCCCTCTTCCACTATCAACAATTGGGCTTTTGAGCAAAATAGAGTTAGGGTTTAATTAATTTGTGTCTTTATTTTCTATCAATTATTTAATTAATTTGTATTATTTCAATTAAGTCTTCCCACTATTAATTCTTACTTTAATAGTCAATGTTATGTGTTTAGAAAGTTTTTTGTTTTAATTAATCTTCATTTTATTCAATAAACAAATTATTTATTAGTAACCTTGTTAGTTTATTGAATTGATTATTTAAAATATAATGTAGTGGAATAATTTTAATATTTTTGATATTGAATCAAGTAATTTACAATAAAAATAATTGAATATGTAATATATGCATGAACTAATTGATAAGTTTGTGAGTTTTGGTAGTCTAATTAGCAATATGTTTCTACATTGTTTGAATTTTTATGCTTTTATTTTCGGTTTCTCTTGATGGATGGTGTGTTATAGTTTAGCAATGTATGTAGGAACTAATTAATTATTAACTTTTGTATTTTTTTTAATTTTTAATTTTTTATTTATTTTTATAGATTCACATAGCCCAAGTTAGTTTGAAGACTACATATCTAGCTCAAGTGGGAAGTTAGAAAGTGTACATTCATTGTACCTAATATATTGGTGTGAATTATAAATTTTACTAAGCTCTATATATTTCTTTCTCTTTATCTATTTAATAAAAAAAATTTCATGCTATTACAACTTGTGTATTGTTTAATGACAAATAAATGCAACTATAGAATTCTTACATCATCATATGCCTAGATACCCGTTCAAGGCTTTCTCATTAGGAGAAAGTCTTGAATAGTCCCTGGTTGGGACTGTTCTTGAACGTTCACTAATGTGGTGAATGTATGTTTTATTTTTATTTTTTTTTTAATTTTTAATTTTTTATATCAAGGAACATCTTGGCTTACCATTTCCTCACCATGTTCTCTAGGTACATATATGTGGGTAAGTAATTACCTACATCGTGTACTTGGAGAACTAGGGGGAAATGCTGCCGGATTTTCCTTAAAATTGGAAAGTCGACATACATTCACTAGTGAGATTAGACATTCAAGGATAGGTTAGGTTGAAGTGATAAGGATCCTTTGGAAGCATGCATTTTTTCACTATATGAATGGTATATGCATGGTGTGTACTTAAATTTGATTAACATAATATATGTAGCAATTATACATTATTCATAATACGTTTCTATGTTTAGAGACGATTTACTAAATGGAGAAGGATCTTGGTTGGATGTATAAGGTAGATGTGATACATTGGAATTCTTTCATGGGGTTCAAGAGTTTTGTGAGAGGGCTTCATCTTGTCAGCGTAGAATGGGTATCGATTGCCTCTATTGTCCTTTTGTTGATTGTAATAAGGTGAAGGTGTTCAATAGTGTTGAAATCATTAGAGATCATGTAATTTGTCGTGGGTTTAGGCTTAAATACCATGTGTGAATTTGGCACGGTGAGAAAGGAGTATACAGTGGGGCTGTTGATGGGAATGATGTGCATGACAGAAGCGATGAGATTCGTGTGGACGAGGAATATAGGAATGATGAATATATTATTGATAACGGTGAGGATGGAGTTGAGGATGAGGCCGAGGATGATCAGGTGGATGAGGTCGAGGATGAACAGGTGGATGAGATGATGCATAGTGTTAAAGGTGATGTATTTGAGTCATTATCAGAGGCTTCCACAAAGCCTTTGTATCCTTGGTGCAAAAAATACTCCAAACTCTTAGCCGTGCTAACACTTTTTAACATTAAGTCGAAGCATGGTTGGATGGACACTAGTTTTACTTCTTTGTTGATCGCGTTAAGTGAGATGTTGCTTGACGGGAATTCCTAAGTCTTACTATTATGCAAAGAATCTCATATGTCCATTTGGTTTGGTGTATAAGAAGATACATGCATGCCCTAATGATTGTATTCTTTATCGTAATGAATATGAACAATTGGAGGAGTGTTCACGATGCAAGAAGTCGCGCTACAAGCGCATGAGTTGCAATGCTGGTAAGAAGGGACCTCATGCTAAGGTGTTGTGGTATCTTCCCATTATTCCAAGGTTCAAGCGTCTATTCTCAACACCAAAAGACGCTAAAAACTTGAGGTGGTATGCAGAGGGAAGAAAAAAAAAAACAGGTTGCTGATGCCTCTAGCTGTAACACCCCAAAACCTGTAGATACCTTTAATAAAATGCAAGAGAATTACTGACGTGTTACCGCCACGTGTTCAAACGTTAAGGCAAATTCAGAATTTAGCAGCGGAAAAACTAACTCAGTTATCAATAACTTTCAAAACCAATAATCAAAACCAAATTTAGTCTTACAAGTTGAAACCATTAAGACCCTTATTCAAAACCTAACAAAAGTAGTAAATGAATCAAACTAGAGTTTAAATAAATCCAAACTTATGAAGTGAAATAAACCGTGGAAATATCCAACACTCCACTCAAAATCCCACCACCTTGATGCAAGTTCTGATTATGTAAAAACCTGTGATTAATTTGCTCCCCAATATTACAAGTGTTAAAATTGGATCATTGCAGGGTCATTGAAGGGCGAAGACCATGACCAAGAAAAAGACACACAAAAGCACGCAATCAGCAACGCAGAGTACATACAAGCTACAAAATAAAACAAAGAATCCCTAGCATGTTACTAAAAATCAATCAGCACATACAATTTAATTATTGACCCAAACACATGCCTCAACTGTTAACATTACTAAGACTTCACTAATTACTAACAATAATTCATTTCATTACATTCATTGATTGGATTAAGCAATAGACAAGGTTGTCTCCCCATGATCAATTTCAGAACATCAATAAAAGAAAAAACCCCATGCCTCCTTTCGGAAACATCAATAAACATCCAATGGCAGACGGGCGCGACTCTGTGGCCATAGCTAGTATGAGATCTCATCTAACTCATAGTTTTAAAAAGCATTTGTAAACAAGAGACTCGTAGATTAGACGGCCTCTAGAAAGTACACGGCTAATACCTCGTGAACCCCAACCCTTGATTGTCAATACTCTAGATGTGCACAAATCCAGAGTTTTATTGCTCATCCATCTTGCACTTTACGTGATTTACATGTTTAAACTTCGTGATGACTCAAATGGAAAACAACACAACCAACCATACATCAATCATTCAAACGATTCAAAATTTCCAATTCAATTCTTGATTTATTAGTGACAAACAACATTTAGTATTGAATCCTTTAGCTACCTCGGTGTATAAACACCTTAAGTGCATAAGGCACCTCAAATCATTAATCTCGTCTCACAAGACTTTAATTCTCTCTTTACTCATTCCAATTCATAAACATGAATGAGTATTTAGATAATTTATTCCACATATTTATGCATCTTAGCCTCTTCGCTCATCTTGCAAGTTATTGCATAAATAACACTTACAAGAAAAATCAATACGCATTTCTCATACATGAATCAAACCAATCATCACATTAATCATCAATCAAACTCACTACCATACAATTTCAACCAATCTACAAGTTACCCTAACATGATTCTAAATCTTACAAGTCCTTAAACATTCTCCTAAAGTCAAGGTTTTCGTATCCTTGTACGTACCTTGAGTAAACGAGTTGGTTGGCCACTTTAGGAACTAGAAATCGCCTTCTACAAAGTCCTCTCCTAAACCAAATAATAATAATTCAATCAATACCCAAGCAATATAATTTACAGCAATACTAACTTACTTTAAAACCTTCAAAATTCAATTAAACAACACTTTAAAACCTTCCCTTTAATTAAAATTAAAAGCTTATATATAGTTTTTTAAGTTTCCTACATAAAAACCTTAAAATACATACTTATTCATGAACTTACAGCTAGTTTAGAGATTTATAAAAATCTGAAAATTTATTTTACACAAGAAATCTTGAAATCTTTATCACTACATACATTATATAGAAAGTTAGTAGACTTTAAACCCAAAAATTTCTCAATTCAATGTAATTAAAGACTCCAAAAACAATAACCAAAAATCTGAAAATTATTCTTGCAATTAAACTTTAAAGTTCCAAACTTTATAATCATA